TCATTTGTACCGTATAAATATGTGGTTAACTACACAATGTTTCATGCAAAATATCTAACCTCTGGCATTTGTCAATTTAGAGAAGATGATTTTTTAAAGTTTTTTACTATAGACATATAAGGAAAACCTATGACCCCCGGGGAGGGGCTAATTTTGAAACAAGAGGCAAAGGTTGAACAACTTTGGTAGAGTACCTATAGATGATGACATATACCAAATGTCAAAGCCTTGTACATTCAGACAATGAGATTTTTTAATGTTTTACTATATGTACATAAAGTGAAAATCAATGACCCCCGGGGCGGGGCCAATTTTGACCCCAGGGCTATAATTTGAACTATCTTGGCAGAGGTCTGCCAGACAATGCCTTATGCAAAATATCTATGCTCAAGGCTTTTTGGGTATTTACAATACAAGAAGATTTTTCATATTTATTCTTATAATTCCTTTTGGTTGCCATGGCAACCAGATTTCTGCATGAAATGAAATTCTTTGAAAATCTTTGAGAGGCCGTTCACTTAAGGATCAATCCTGCAAAGTTTGGTTGAAATTGGACTAGTGGTTCTCACAATTAGACTTTTGAAGTTCACTATATAATCTATAACACGCACATGCACGCACGCACGCACACAATCACACACTCCCGCACGCACCAACGCACGCACGCACACACACACACACACACACACACACACGTAGAATCGCTATATGCCACTGCATCGCAGATGCTGCGGTGGCATAAAAATTCAAATAACAATTCCCAAAATATAAATGGTGACGGGAAAATTGAGAAAACGTTTTCATAAAAATCGTTTATCTCATCAGATAAGTAAAGATCGAACGCTTGCGTCAGCATAAAATAGCTGACGGTGCATATCTTTTGGATGAGGACTTACTGATTTTGAACATTTTAAATACAATCCGGACTTGTCACCTTGTGGACTTTGGATGTTGCAGCAGCTTTAGCAAAATGCAGGCTGGAATCGTGTTTGATTCCGGCAGTCGTTAATGCGTTATGAAAAGTGAATTGTATAAACAAGGTTTTAATATGAGCGAAAACATAATTGTTTTAAGCGCCATTCTCTACAAACAAAAAATATTGCTCTCGTACCTGAACGATACATGTAGCTTTAAAATTAAAGAAAATCATTAGGTATCGAATGAACCTTCAAAATATTTAAGTCCTTATTGAAGTTTATTGAAATGTATTTAAACCGCCAAGAGACCAATAAAACAAATTTTTACGTTGACTTTTGAGGGCGCACTGCCCGGCTGATACCTTTTGCCACCATTAATCTTTTACCGTATGAGCATAATTAAAAATAGACCTTTCTATCTTAAACGGACTTTGTACACGGACTTCGTAATACGGAATAAATTGGGGATTTTCTCAAAACATTAATGATAAAAAAGATCAATAAAACTGTAATACATCGGGTTTACATGTATATACTAATTATAGTATTTCTATCAACCATCAACACATAAAAGATGAATACAGTGTAACCACACTTTATATGAAGACCAAACAAAAACAAACAAAGAAACGAACCAAACATAACAAGTTTCTTCATTTATATACTTTATTGTAGTGTTAATTTTTCAACCAATGACCAAGAAGCGATGTTTTCAAGATATACTAGTAAGTGTTGGTACATGACTAAACGTAAATGTCATCATATGTATAATAATTATGTAGTAACGCTTTAGTGCGAATTGCACGAAATCTCGAGCGTTAGAATTAAACAAAGGTCGCCATCTGAATTCACAATAACTTGTGTATTGTTAGCGTGGAAGTGACAGTATCAACAATAGAATTGTTATTGTGGCTTATCCATTGGTCGTAATAATTCGTGTGACTATTTCAGCAACTGCGGGATATGGTTTATCCCAGTGACCACGTTTACTAAACCATTGATCTTTGGTTGGCCTAGTAATGCAATTTACAATTGTTGTGTAGAATGCGCAAATTTCAACATGTACATACGCGGTGCACACATTGACTATGGTGGCAATTGTTACAATTAATGGTTGAGTAACAACATATCCTTATCACATGAAGACATTTTGTGGTGACTGTAATTTCTAAGTGTATGCATAATATGTAACATATCTATTAATGTTTCTGATGCTTTTTAAGTTAGATTATAGATATTGTACATCATTTTGGAGATCTTGGAAAAAAAAACGTTTCTTTCGGAATATATAAACATAAACGATTGCGAATATCTACTACGGTCTAGAGTTGGCATTATTACGGCAACTTAACATGACCATGCACGGCTGATATATTCAGAATCATATTGCAAAGATTTAACTGAAGCGGGAAGTGATACTAAAAGTAGGCTTCGCCAGCCTTTGTTTATTCTGAAAATCTAAAAACAATGCAAACAGTATTATAGTGTTGGGTGATAAGTAGCAGAATAGTTGTCTAACATAACACAAATTTTAACGACACACGTATTAAAGCAATGGACAGGTTTTCACACTCAAAGGTATTATTGTAAGAAAATCGGCAACATTTGAGGACCTAGGGTTTGTTAGCCGATATAGCATATGTACTATTATTGTATAATTCCGAGAATTTCGTGCAATTTCACACTGAAGCGTTACTACATTTTTATACCCCCACAAACGAAGTTTAGGGGGGGGGGTATATAGGAGTCAGCTTGTCGGTCGGTCGGTCGGTCCGTCGGTCGGTCCACATCATGGTTTCCGGACGATAACTAGAGTTTGGAATGAGGTATTGTAATCAAACTTGGTATATAGCAACCTTATGTGGAAACTCCGGTTGGTATTGCATTTGGACCCCCTGGGGTCAAGGTCAAGGTCACCGTTACTAAAATATAGAAAAATGGTTTCCGGACAATAACTAGAGTTAGGAATGAGATATTGTTATCAAACTTGGTGTATAGCAAGCTTATATGAAGACCTGGGTTGGTATTGTATTTGGAACCCCCTGGGGTCAAGGTCAAGGTCACCGTTACTAAAATAGAAAATTGTTTCCGGACAATAACTAGAGTTAGGAATGAGATATTGTTATCAAACTTGGTGTATAGCAAGCTTATATGAAGACCTGGGTTGGTATTGCATTTGGACCCCCTGGGGTCAAGGTCAAGGTCACCGATACTAAAAATAGAAAAATGGTTTCCGGACAATAACTAGAGTTAGGAATGAGATATTGTTATCAAACTTGGTGTATAGCAAGCTTATATGAAGACCTGGGTTGGTATTGCATTTGGACCCCCTGGGGTCAAGGTCAAGGTCACCATTCCTTAAAATAGAAAAATACTTTCCGGACAATAACTAGAGTTAGGAATGAGATATTGTAATCAAACTTGGTGAAAAGCAAGCTTATTTGGAGACCCCAGTTGGGATTACAATTAATTGAAATATTTCTTTGTGCACAGTTGATAGTTTGTGTTGAATTTTTTCTTCAGACTACTTATTTTTCAAAAAGTTGCTGGTGGGGGTATTAATCACCTTCAGTGATAGGTCTAGTTTTACTTTAGTTACAGAGATATTTATACAACGATGATGTTGGGGACGTAATATAGCTCCACAGCCCGCAAACAGTCTACGTCAGAAATAATTATTGGTTGACATCAATAATGATGAGAGAGCAGTTCAAGACCAAGTTAAGCACCCAGTGCCGGCTGTTTCGCAGGGGGAATAGGTGCTCCCTAGTAAATTAAATAGAAGACAATCCGGCTCTCTATAGGATACCACCCTCTCCCAAAACGACAATCCAAAACTACTCTGTGAACTTTGCGTCAGCAGTGACAGCAGTGATGACATTTACCTATAGCCCCCCTTTACTAAATGACATATTGGTGAAAAATTAGCACTACAATTTTTGTATTTCTTTATTTTTCTTTTGTTTTGTTCTGATTTCTTTCTTTTTTTGTCTTTATATTAATTATGGTTAAATTGTCTTCATCTTATATATGTTGATATGTTGAAATCGCTGCATCAGAGTTTAAGCGTACTGCTCATTCTATCTTATTTCCGCGCATTTATGTTTTGAGAAAACCCCCAAATTATTCCGTTTTAAGAAGTAAGTTTACGAAGTCCGTTTAAGATAGAAAGGTCTATTATGCAAAATGGTCGTTTTCATTGAAAAGCCTTATGTTACAAGTTCAAACTGCCTTGAAACTATGAAAACCCAACACGGCAAGATTGAAAATGTTGTAGGCTCGGTTTGATTGAGCCTGTTCATGGACGGTAATGGAATGTGCAAGTTACCATGGACGCCCCCTAGCACAGGCTTAAAAAGCAGAATTTAACATTTAAACACGATAATTGGTGACATTTTCATTTTTTTTAAATTTAGAAACATCTACAGATGTGTTCATACGGCGGTTATCATGGAACCTTCAATGGGACACAGAAGTGCCATTCCATGAAAAGCAGCGTATGGTCCCCAAGTAAAAGAATGCATGCGCCCTAAACGAGAAAATAATAGGCGGAACTAAATAAAATGGAATTTTGAAAGGGCATCTGAGGTTATGAAGCCTGCATATCACATACAAGACTTCAAAAGACAAATTTAAAAAGCAGGCAGCATATCCTAAGGGTGATTATGCAGTATTCAAGTAGGAATACTGGAACCACCCGAATTTAAAGGCCAACTATAAGAAACTAAAATTACACATTACATGTATACGCAACAATAATATCGTGCTGAACGATCTTCAAGGACGAACATATAACATCTTTAATTTGATTAAATGTACGGGGAAACTTTACACACGACACAGATAGCACTGATGCGACAGTAAAATACAGAAAAGCAGACTCACATGAAAGTTATTTTCTTGTTCGAACTGAGCCATCTGTGTCACAGTCATGTGGTTTTGCTACAATGATTTATATATAAACAAAATCGCACCAGTAAATAAAAGGAAAATGCCCTTTTATTAACAATACTTTTGGTCGATAACAGTTCTATATGCATTGTAATAATTTTGAACCATTTCATGTGTTCGTTTTATTTTAAGGTACAATGGATATTATGAAGCAGGGTTGTAAACAAAAGGACGGTTCGAAAAGCCGATCAACTGTCAGTAGCTTTCAAGATGGTATGATACAAGTCGAGGAGGGTATAGAAAATTTCATGATAGAAATATTCCGTAAAGACGTATTCGAAAAGTTCAAGGCGCTTAACTTTACCGAGTATATGGAGTTGAAACATGATATTGCAATTAAGCTCAGAAGTGTTTCAATTCATACTGAAAAGGTGCATCTCAGAATACCCACTTCGCTATTAGTCATGTACAAAGATATTACCAAAAAAGCATTTAAAGATGATTTATGTAAATTTCGAGATATAGCAATGGTTGGAGATAAAATTAAAATGCCTGCAAGCCAGTTTATGGACCCTCTTGAAAAGGCAAAAATAGGCGTACTGTCACATATAAAAGCAGAACTAGAAAATGAAAATATGAACAGTATCCTGGTGTTCGGTGAGTTTGCACAAACCAAAGTTATACAGGAAGAAGTAAAATTGTTGCACGGAAATGTTAAATTCATAAGTGATGAGGACATTTTGTCAGGCGCTGTAGCTGCTGGCAAAATGAAAACGCCCGGACAAATTATAAAATTGGTAAGATAATTTAAATATTCATATATCTACTGAAACAAAATACAAAACTTTTCTTTCAAATCAATTGTCAGTTTTGTTTTGAAAGTGTAATATTTTAGTAATATAAGTAATTAATCACTGAACATAGATCATATTTTGGATACATGATCCAAATTCATGTTCAAAAATTACTGTAAAAACATACAAAGTAAAAGTTCCGAAACCCAACTCAGACCGGAAATATTTAACTGTTAATTCATTATGGGCTCAATCTGAAATAAAAAATCCATCCATTAATTACAGGCTCCAGAAACAATAATGGTGGCATCCCTCGACCTTGGTACCACGTATTCAGGTTGGGCTTATTCATTTCTCAGCGATTTCATATCGGATCCAAGAAAGATATCAGTACGAAACTGGAATGCAGGTTCAATACTGACACCAAAAACTCCCACATGCTTGCTAGTGAAACCCGACGGCAAAACGATAGAGGCGTTTGGCTATGAAGCTGAAAACAAATACAGGGAATTAATTGAAGACAATATGCACGCTTCCTACTATTTTTTTCGTCGATTCAAAATGACGTTAAACAGAAAACTAAGCGAGGTATATAAAACTATTAGCTCCGACATAAATGACAAATGTACACTTCTTATTTTTGATTTGTATCATGCTTTGTATTTGACCTCTTTGTTTATTAGTCTTGAGAATGAAATGGTTTTTATAAAATATAAATTAACGGTTTTTATTCAATATAGAAAATCAACAGAAACCTTATGTTGGAAGATGAAACGGGCCGATCTCTGCTTGCTATTGATGTTTTTGCGATGAGTATTCGATTCCTGAAAGACGATTTGCTGGAGACCTGTAACAAACGAATTTCTGGACCTATAGTGGCACGGGAAGTTCAGTGGGTGTTGACAGTTCCTGCAATTTGGAATGATGGCGCGAAACAATTTATGCGGGAGGCAGCTTTAAGGGTAAGTTAATGTTTATTTGGAAATTTGAAAAAAATATTTCAAACATTAGAATTGATTTATTAAGTATTTCCAAGAAAAACTGATTTTGAACAAAATTAGAATATAATATAATATAATCAATTTTTCGAAATAAGTGATATATTCCTTGACTTTCTCCCTTTCATATATGTTCATTTATGGGCAGTACTGATCTTATTAATTTGATTTTCATAAGAATATTTACAGTAAGAAAAAAATAAACCTGCAACCTATCTAGCCAGTCATCAGTTAAAGTAGCTAAAATAGCTCTCTGCTTTAGTATTAAAATGATAACATTGAATGGGGTGTAACATTACCGCAAAAAAAACATATTGCAATATAATGCCATTTTGTAAAAGCGTATTGCAATATATTGCATTATGTATTGTCATGTGTATGTTTAATGTAAAGATGGTGTAACAATATTTATTTATATAATTATATGTATATATCCTAAGTAGAAACTTAATCAAAATTTGAAGACTAAATAAAAAGTAATCTAGGAACCTGGGTTCCCTCTGGCGCCACGAAATACGCCAATCAAAAAATGTTGGGAGCCAATTACTGCTAAGTTGGAGCCAATGATTATGTAAAGGAGACACGCCTTTCTTTGTTAAGATAAACTTGCAGATATATATATATATATATCATTGTGTTTACAATTACATATAATATTGTTATTTACTACAGCTGATTATTATGTAAAATAAACATATAAATGTGTGGATTTCAAATTCCATTTATTAATAAATAAATACACATGACAACATATTTATAAATGTAAAACATCATTTTAAGTCAGTAATAAGGTTGGGATGTCCTGTTTTACCTATAGCAGTTCTTATCTCTCTTATTCACCCTCACTGACTTTACTGATGCAAATTATTTCCAGCTTCCTCTATATTCTGGTGATCTTCAAATACAAAAGAAAGAAGATTAATATAAAGTAACTTCAACTAAAAATTGAAAGAGATACAAGGTACTTTTTAACAGTAAAGAAAATCTTGTTTTGTCCCCCGCCTTTTTTCCGTCTGTCTGTCAGTCTGCTTTCACGGGACAGTTATAATGGCTAGAGGAACAATTGGTAACTGTTCTTTCTCTTTGATGTAATTCATTCCGTAATGCTTTTATGTGGCTATTTTCTTTTGTGTAGCTAAAAAGAACAATAGAGTAGCCACGTAATTACTGTCATTTGAGAAGGTCCTTCTGTCCGTCTGTCACACGTTTGTTTCAGGTCCATAACTTTGTCATTTATCAAAGGAATTTGAAATAACTTGGCACAAATATTTGTTATTATAAGATAATGTGTCATGCGCAACAACAAGACCTCTTCCTCTAGGGTCAACGGCAAGGTAAACATTGTCTTTTTGAGATTATTTGTCGTGTCCGGTCCATAACTCGCTTATCTTTGAAGGTATTTTGTAAATACTTGCCGCAACTGTTCACAATAAAAAGACAAGTTGTCATGCACAAATCCGGTCACCTACCTCAAAGGTCAAAGTCATACTTGGAGGTCAAATATTAACATGGTCTGTATAGGGTATATTTTGAGTCCGGTCCGTAATTTTTTTCATAGATCAAAAGATTTTGAAAATACTTGGCACAAATAGTCACATCAATAATACAATGTGTCATGCGCAACAACTGATCCTCACCTCCAAGTTTAAGGTCACACTTAGAGGTCAAAACTTTACAAAGTCTGTTATAGGGTATATTTTATGTCAGGTCTATAACTTCTTCATTGATCAATGGATTGTGAAAATACTTGACACAAATAGTCACAATTATAAGATAATGTGTCATGCGCAAATCCTGCACCCCTACCTCAAGGGTCAAGGTCACACCTAGAAGTCAAAGATAAACAAAGTCTGTTATAGGGCATATTTTGTATCCGTCTATAACTTCTTCTTAGATCAAGGGATAATGAGACGATGTGTCATGTGCAATAACCAATCGCCTACACTAAGGTCAAGGCGAAGATTAATTATATAGACCTGATTTTTGCATCTGATAACATACCGTGTATTCTTATAGTGATTCCAGTTATTACACTGACCATTTACTCACTATTATATCTGTTTTTTAAATAGGTTTTTAGCTCACAAGAGCCGAAGGCTCGGGGTGAGCTATTAGTATCAAAGGGGGATACTCCGGCGTCCGTCGTCATGTGTCAACAATCGTCTTCTTCTCTGAGACTGCTGGGCAGATGTACCTACAATTTGGTCAGTAGCATCCTTGTGACAGTCACACTTAAATTTGCTCATGTCATTTCAATTGGCCCCTTTTAGGTGTCAGCAGAGCTAAACATAGAAAACCCTTTAAACATCTTCTACTACAGAACTAAAAGATTGATGATCACCAAACTTTGTCTGAAGTAGCATTCTTGAGTAGTCTTTTATCTCGTTTGCTCATATTAATTTCATTAGCCCCTTTAAGGGGTCTCTAGGGCTAAAATAGAAAAACCTTTAGACATCTTCTTCTACAGAACTAATGGGTGGATAATCACCAAACTTTGTCTGTAGCATTATTTTGTAGCTTTTATCGAGTTTTGCTCATATTAATTTCATGAGCCCCCCTTTTAGGGGTCTCTAGGGCTAAAAATAGAAAAAAACTTTTAGATATTTTCTTCTACAGATCTAATGAGTGGATAATAACCAAACTTTGTCTGTAGCATTCTTGGGTATTCTTTTATCAAGTTTGCTCATATTAATTTTGATTGGCCCCTTTTAGGGGCAGCTATAGCTAAAATAGAATACCTTTAAAGTATGCTTCTATAAAAAACTTATTGATGGATGATCACCCCAAACTTTGTTTGTTAGCATTCTTGGAAATTTTATATTCAAGTTTGCTCATATTTAATTTCATTGGCACCTTTTAGGAATCTCTAAAGCTAAATAGAAATACCTTTATATGTCTTCTTCTACAGCACTAATGGGTGGATAATCACCAAACTTTGTCTGAAGTAGCATTCTTGAATAGTCTTTTATCACGTTTGCTCATATCATTTTCATTAGCCCCTTTAAGGGGTCTCTAGGGCTAAAAATAGAAAAACCTTTAGACATCTTCTTCTACAGAACTAATGGATGGATAATCACCAAACTTTGTCTGGAGCATTATTTTGTAGCTTTTATCGAGTTTGCTCATATTAATTTCATGAGCCCCTTTTAGGGGTCTCTAGGGCTAAAAATAGAAAAACTTTTAGATATTTTCTTCTACAGATCTAATGAGTGGATAATAACCAAACTTTGTCTGTAGCATTCTTGGGTATTCTATTATCAAGTTTGCTCATATTAATTTGATTGGCCCCTTTTAGGGGCAGCTGTAGCTAAAAATAGAAATACCTTTAAACGTATGCTTCTATAAAACTTATTGATGGATGATCACCAAACTTTGTTTGTAGCATTCTTGGAAATTTTATATCAAGTTTGCTCATATTAATTTCATTGGCACCTTTTAGGAATCTCTAAAGCTAAATAGAAATACCTTTATATGTCTTCTTCTACAGCACTAATGGGTGGATAATCACCAAACTTTGTCTGAAGTAGCATTCTTGAGTAGTCTTTTATCAAGTTTGCTCATATTAATTTGATTGGCCCCTTTTAGGGGTCTCTAGGGCTAAAAATAGAAAAAAACTCTAGACATCTTCTTCTACAGAACTAATTGATGGATGATCACCAAACTTTGTCTGTAGCATTCTTCAGAAGTCTTTTATCAAGTTTGCTCATATCAATTTGTTTGGCCCCTTTTAGGGGCTGCTAAAGCTAAAAATAGAAAAACCTTCAAACATCTCCTTCTACAGAACTAATCGATGGATAATCACCAAACTTTATCTGTAGCATTCTTCGGTAGTTTTTTATCAAGTGTGAACATCATTTCCTACTGAAATCATCAAACTTTGTCTGTAGCATTCTTAGGTAGTCTTTTATCACGTTTGCTCATATTTATTTGATTGGCCCCTTTTAGGGGCAGCTAAAGCTAAAAATAGAAATACCTTTAAACGTCTCTTTCTACAGAAGTAATAGATGGATGATCACCAAATTTTGTCTGTAGCATTCTTAGGTAGTCTTTTTATCAAGTTGTTCTTATTAATTTGATTGGCCCATTTTCTGTGGCCGCTTAAGCTAAATATAGAAACACATTTGAACATGATCTCCTACTGAAATATTTGATGGATGATCACCAAACTTTGTCTGTAGCTCTCTTAGGTAGTCTTTTATCAAGTTTGCTCATATTAATTTGATGGACCCTGTTTAAGCTAAAGCTTAAATGCCCCAGGTCATAGCATTTCTTCAATTATAGTTTAAAGATATTCTATGTTCAAATTTAATATTTGAAAATATTGACAATGGAAACACAGTATCTTTTTAAAATAAACGTGTTTTGACTTCACACAAAGTAGATATGTTATGCTTTAAACTCTTCACAACTATATATAGTGTCACCAGCTATAAATATTAATGATAGTGAACAATTTTAAAAAAAAAACTGTTTTCGTTTTTATTACTAGATAAGACCAACTTTACCTTGCCCTTATAATTGGAATATGCAGCTTCCCATACATAGTTTATTTCATCTTTTATCCAGAATTAGACATTTTCAGTTAAGAATTTCATCAATTTTCAATAAAATTTCTATGACTCAAAGATGAGTACAGGATATTTTTTCATAATGAAAGGGAAACAACTCATGTTGGAATGTGTACATATGTTATTCATTTTTTTTAAAAGAGGTTAAATGGCTTGGAGAAAGTCTTTATGTCATGACCTGTTTATGATGTGTGAATATCTTACAGCTCTAGAATTCGGACATCATATTGCATCATTGTAAGGTCAGTTGTAGGTCATTAACCAGGAAAAAAAGGTCTATAGAAACATTAAATTTGTTTCTCCTGTACTTTATAAACAAGATGAGTTTGTATGCTCAATTGTTTTATTGAATTTTGTTCAAATTTTTTTTTCTTTTTTCTTTTTTTATTGAATTAA